GGTTTGTGAAATTTGATATCTAAACATTTGTTCTATATATATTTACAACTATACCTTTTTGGTCAGTTGTTCCCTCTATTAATTATACAGTGGCTTTCTTTATCTCTCTTCTTTAATTCTGGTTGAAGTCGACTTCATCAGATATCAGAATAACTACACTGACATTTCTCAGTTTCCATTCACTGGTAGATTCTTTTCTATTTTTTTATCTCAGTTTGCAGTGTTACGACCAATGATGTGTGTTTCTTGGAGAAAATGGTTGGAAATTCATTTTTTAATAGTCAATTAGTTTGCATTTCTTTATGGTGAGTTGAGGCCACTTACATTTGAAATTATTATTGAGAGATATTTACTGATTTCTGTAATTTAGTTGGCTGTTTTCTGACTGCCTGGATTATGGTTTGTTCTTTACTTTCTTCTCTATTAGGATCAGGAGTTGGTTGCTTTACTGTGTTGGGTACCATGGGTTTTCTGAGCTTTCTTTTATCTATTCCTTTCATGAAATTTAATTGAGACTGTCTTTATTTCTTTATTTTCAAATATCTTTTACAGGGCTGGTTTGGTGGTCATGAATTGCCTTAGTTTTTTTTCCATTTCTGCCTTTTCTCTCCAGGTCATGAGGTTATGGATTGAATTCACCTGCTTGTTTTTATATTCTTTCAGGTCATTGGTCATATTTGGCCAGAAAACCTTTGAAATCACCAACTAACATTTACGTATTTCAGTAACTTTGAGTTCAGTAGTTGAGGAGGAGGAATCGTGTTGTCTTGCTTTTTGATGTTTCTAGCATTTTTTTTTTTTGCTGTGATTTGCACAACTCTTTGTTTGGATATTTCTCCTTTTTGAAATCGGATTTTCACATTAAACATTTTGATTTTGAAATGTCAGTCCCCAGCGTCATTCAGTATCCCTCAATGAAAAGAAAGCAAACTGCTTTACCATCAACCAAACCATATAAAATACACTTAAAATCAGGTACAGACCAATGACTACATAACTTGAAAATGGCACTACTGTAAAATGTGCTATAAAGATAATGTTATTTGGGTTAAGTATAGAAATAGTAAACTAATGAAATAAAGGAAGGAGACAGGAAAGGGAGAAAATAGAGGAGAAGCAAAGTTAAATAACGGAAAGGAAAAAGAAGAAGAATAAAGAATGTAATAGAGGGGAAAACAAGACAAGAGATTAGGAAGAATAAGAAAGAGGAAAAGGAAAAGCAAAAAAGATACCCTCATAAAGAAAAAGTAAAAACCAAAATTAGATAAATTTAAGAAGGGGAATAAAAAGTAAAAACAGGAGTATTAAAAAAGTAAAAGAGGCTGGAGAGATGCTCCACAGTTAAGAGCACTTGTTGCTTTTGCAGAGGACCTAGGTTCGATTCCCAGCACCCACATGGACTGGTTCATGATCATTTAAAACTCCAATTCCAGCAGATCTGACAACTTTTTCTAACATTCATAGGTACCAGACATACACATGGTGCATGGACATAAAAGCAGGTGAAACATTCATACACATAAAGTAAAATAAATAAACCTTTAATTAAAAAACACCCAATAGTGTAAAACCAGAATACTATTAAATGTAGGGTTGGAATAAGGAAGAAAACACAGAATTTGGGAATCCAAGAATGAAAAAAAATTGCCATCAAATGGAAAAATGCATGAACAAAATTACATGATGAATGAAGGGGACAACTAAGAACATATTTTTGTAAAAGCAAAAGGTTTCTTCTTGAGATTTCCCAGACCACACCCCATCAGGTGGCTAATGCTTTAATTAGGGTTTGTTTCTCAAGAGCTATGAGAATGTGGTAAACAACTACATATGGCATTGGAAGCAGCTAGGGTGGTTTGAAGAGTCTGGGGGGAATGTAGATATTGGCCTGGTCCTTTTGGTGTATGATGTCATGTAACTTTAGGAGTTCTCTGTCTAGGTTTTTTTTTGTGGTAGAAATAACATATATTGGTGAGAGTGGGGCATTGAAACTACCCACTGTTACTGTGTTGCAGCCGATCTTTGGTTTTAGATCTGTTGACGGAATTTGGTGCCTTACTGTTTAGTAGACTAAAAGTTATCTTAATTTACTTTTGACTTTCTCTATTAAATTGGAAAGAAGTGAATCACCTCCAGCCACCCATTTTCTTGATTTCCCCTGATTTTTAAAAATTATTTATTTAACGTGCATAGGCATTTTGCTTCCATGTGTGTCTGTGTGCTACACGCATGTAGTGCCTGCACAGGTCAGAAGGGGGTGTCAAATGCCTGAGAATTGGAACTACAGGTGGTTTGTTGTGAGCTGCTACATGGGTTCTGGGAATAGAACAGGTTCCTTGAGAGCAACTGCTAAATCTAAGAAAATGGTAGAACTACTGTAGAATGTACTGTAGACATAAACAGTATTAAACCTCCAACCTCATTCCCTGATTTTTTTTTTTTTTTTTTTTTTTTTTTAGGTTTTTCAAGACAGGGTTTCTCTGTGCAGCTTTGCGCCTTTCCTGGATCTCGCTCATCTAGACCAGGCTGGCCTTGAACTCACAAAGATCCGCCTGCCTCTGCCTCCCAAGTGCTGGGATTAAAGGCGTGCGCCACCACCGCCCGGCTTCCCTGATGTTTTAAACAACATTCTTTTTGGAGGACTGTTGTGGGAGAAAGCAGGTCAACTGCCTTGTACTAGTGCCCTGAATTTAATAAATACTCACTCCATGTTCGTTACTACAATAATATTGAAGGAAGCAGGCAAAAGCACCTTGTGCTAAGTACTGCCATTTTGACTTCAGACTCCATTTTATCCTGTAGGGTGAAACAAAGTTCAGGTTCTTAGGCCTTAGGGGAGCTGGGAACTTTCCAATGGCTGGCCAACCTTCTCCTTAAACAATAGAAATAGTCTGTTATTCCTCTTAGTTCCCTAAAACATTATGGCTGTTCCTAACGACAGAAAGAACAAATGAATCTGATTGGTTGGTCTGAAAAGCTTATGTTTTGTGTCAGTTGACAATGATCCTTGACTCCTGATTGGTGAAAATTGTACCTGTAACTTGGCACAGGTGTGTTTATGTTTTTATGCTTATAAACTCCACTTCTGCCCCTGCTTGGGGCTTCCAGGAAAAGCAAGGCTCCCGAGTCCTTGTCCTGCAGCCCTGATCAATGAGTGACTCCACTTATGTGGTGATTTACTAAAGTCTTGGGAACCCATGAGTGTTGTCTCTCTCCTTTCTTTTGGGGCACAATGTACAGGGTGCTACAACATGAATCAAATTGTAAAGAACTCTGATTCAGAGAAGGAACCAGTCAAAAGTAAAATTCAGCAGTAGTCTTGGATACCAGAGCTCTTTCCAGTACAGTCTCCCATTCTGTGAGTGAAGAGTAGGAGATGATCCAAGTAGGAAAGGGGTAAGGGTACAAGATGACCCATTCAGTGGGACAGGATCACAATGTCTTTGCTAACTATTCACAGCATACATTGATCTTTCAATCATTCACTCATTAAACAAATATTTGAAGTTATAAAATGACCACAAAGTGGGGTAAAAGTTCAGACAAATGAAATGCAAATAGTTGCATGTCTGCTCTGTCTTTGGTTTTGACAAGAGCTCAGGATTTCAGAGAGAAAGAAAATATATGGGTTATGTAATACATGCCAGGTCACAGGGGAGGATAAAGTAGGAGTGTGTTCAAGAAAACATTTGGATAGGTGAGGGGCAAACATACATTCCTGGAAGAGTGAATAAGCTGGATTCCTAGAGATGCGTGTTGAAATGTCTTTTGTGTATGACTCTCTGGATTTTTCACAACTGAGTTGATTTAAGGAAGATAATCATGATCAAATTGAGGGGAAGGACCCCAAAGAAGGGCTCATCTCCACCCCTTATCTTTTTTGTTTCTTTTTCCTTATTTGAACGTTTGCCATTTTTAAATTAGATTTTTTATTAAATTTTTAGTACAATATATTTTGATCATATTATTCACCTCTTTCACCTCCTCCCAGATCCTCTCTACCTTTTAACCCACCCAACTTCATGTTAACACAACCCAAACATCCCTTCTCTGCTTAAGTATAATCTCCATAAATTTGTTGGAAATCATCTCAGCACTGTTCAGTTGATGGGATGATAATTCTTCAAAACCTCATTTTTCTATTTTTGCTTTATTAATCCCTGGGTGGACATTTTATTTTTCAGGCAAGCCATAATAAGTATCATTGCTCTGATTTCTGTTTTAGAATTTACCCAATCTGAGCTCAAAAAATATGTGTTGAGTTAGTAAATAACTGAATAGGTGATGGGCATTTTAAGTATTTGGGAAAGCTATTATTATCCCACTCAATCAAGATATTGAGGCACAGAAAAAGTGTGTAGCAGGCTACATATGTGGTGAGGCTAACCTGGGTCTTGAGCCTCCTGAATGTAGCTGCAGTGTTCCACCCATTGGCACATTCATCCCGGATCATAACTGGAGAGGGGTTGGGACAAGTCCTAAGTAAAATGTAAGAAACAGCTGGATTTGGAGTCCAGAGGCAAGGATCACTGTGTGTAGAAACTCTCAGCAACTATGTTCATCTGAACACACCAATTTACTACTTGACATCACTTCCATCTTGATGTTACAAAAACAGTAAAGCAGCTGCACCTATTGAATGTTTGGTAAATTAGAATATGGATCTCTGAATATCAAGGCTAATTATGTCTATTCCATAATTCTATCTCATCAACTAGGATATTGCCTAACACATAATAGGTGCTCAATAAATATTTGTAAGTAGTACAGAGACAGGAAAGTGGGTGTGTAGATAGCTATTACCAAGACCAGTTGCTAGGGCTTTGTTTTCACTGTTTCCCAAGGTCAATGTTTCAGGTTAATAAACTTTGGACCCTGAGGTCAATCCCTATCTGCCCTCTCCATTCTCCCTCCCATAAGCAGGTGGATCAATCTTCTCATGACTTAAATGCGGTCACTCCAAAGGCTTAGTGACACTAGTGATCCAGAAGTCACTAATCATGAGTTTCTCCGTATTGAGCCCCACCAGAAATTTGGATGGTGTCTCTGGGTTCTTTCAAGTGGTCTTCCTGCTCAGCCTATTTCTGGTGCTTTTCAAGGCAGTCCAGTTCTACTTAAGAAGGCAGTGGCTGCTCAAGACGCTCCAGAATTTCCCATCCACACCTTCCCATTGGCTTTGGGGACACCAACTGAAGGTAGGAAGAAGGAAGAGAATGGAAGAACATGAAAAGCTGGAGCTCTGATAGTTTAGTTTCAGTCCATGGGGCAGTTTGCTGTGGGATGAGTACATGGTTTCTGAAGAACACCCAGTTTCCTTCTAAGAGTGAGCTTGCCTTAACCATAGGAAGCATATACCCTCTTAAGAAGATGCAAGTCGACAATAGACTCAAATCTCAGAATGCACAAGGGCATGAGAAAACAGCCTATCCTTATGGAGTGAGTGAGTAATACCAGGTACAGAGAACAATTATCTAGGTTTGTCAAGACTGAGAGAACTTGTAGAAGTGATGATTTGGGGCCCATGTTACATATCAGTTTCCTCTGAGATTAAAACTGCCCATTTTGTAGGGAAACTTGTGATTACAATATAGGATGTTCCAAAGAGGGGTAAAATATTCCATTCAGAAAGGAAGCCCCTTAAGATACTGGAAATTCTATGGGGAGGTGAAACATTCCACCCTGCAGGGGAGTTCCTTAAGTCCAGGAAGCAAATAACTCCAAGGTTTCATGAAGTCCTTGAAACTGGCATTATTCACTAGCCTCCTCCACCCCCAAGTGTATATACGCAGTAAGGATGTCTGACTGTGCTAGTAGCCCTTAGTAGAGTACAGTTTGGTAAGGGCTGCATGAAGAGGCACTCAGTGAGGGACTGCACACCAGCCACATCTAAGAATAGGTAAATTTAGAGCTCCTACAGAATGCTGAGGCTCTTACCCCAATAGCTTCTCTAAAGAGCATTAGCTCCATCTAACAAGGCTTCAGGATCTCGCCAGGGCAAGTTCTTGGACACAGCAAAGGTCTGGATGAAAGAAAATACAGATTATCAAACTGACCTAAATTTCTTTTTCTGAGCATTTCAGGGCTACGTCCCTGTGATGGTCCTGCCTCTCCCATACCACACAAAGTACTAGAAGTCAAAGAACATTTTCACTAATTTGTCTTTTCTTTGGTGTCTGTTCCCAAAGGACAAGGAGCTCCAGCAGATTCTTACATGGGTGGAGAAATTCCCAAGTGCCTGCTCACAGTGGCTCTCAGGGAGCTGTGCTCGAGTCCTGCTCTATGACCCTGACTATGTGAAGATGATTCTGGGGAGATCAGGTGAGAGCCCAGCTTCATTGCTGCTGTAGCATGACTGCCATCCAATGGTCAAGCCCCAAGTATGTGAAGTTTTAGAAAAGAGTGACATTTCAGCCATCAATGTCTAAATAGCACCTACTACCATTCTCCCTGTTCAGAGACCGACATAGATGACTAACAATATTTACATAGCTCTCAACACTTAAAATAGCTGCACAGGGCTTAATTTAAGTTTTCATATTTTTCTTTTAAAACAAATTGAGTTGATGTGTTTCACAAATTTCTCAATAGGTGAAGAACAAATTTTATATCCAGAGTCTTGGATTCGAAAACCTCTAATTGCTTACTCACCTGGCTCATAGGACTACTAAGCCACAGCCCATTATAGAAAAAGAACAACAACAAAAAACAAAAACAAAAAAACCAAAAAAACCCAGGTCTTTTTGTTATTCTTTGGCTTCGAGAGTTTTTTGTTTTTGTTTTTCAAACATCATAGTGACAGAGACATTCAGCTGCTGGTACAATGAAGTCTGTCCTCCTAAGCCCAGATAACTGGCGAGACAAAGATAGAAAGGAACGGGAGGCAGTGAGCAGTGATAGGGAACAACAAACTGTCAGCAAACATACACCAGGAACTAATGGCTTGGTTGCTGAGATGGTTCAGATGGTCAAGGGGTTTGCTGCCGAAGCCTGATGACCTGAGTTTGAGCCCTGAAACCCACACTGAAAGTGGGAAAAATAAACCAACTCCTCAGTTGTTTTCTGAACTCCACACAAACACTGCAGCAGGTGTACATGCATGCACACACACACACACACACACACACACACACACACACACACACACACAGTAAGTTTAACAATTCTGAAAAACTAAAGAGTTCATAAAAGCTTCTTTATCTGTTCCTCAAGATCTGTGTTACTTTTCAGATCCAAAGGCTTCTGGTGTTTACCGATTTATTGCTCCCTGGATTGGTAAGCATATTAAAATAAAGAATGTGTTTTCCTGACTGCTCTTTGGCTAATGGAAAACAACGGGTGATTGGCCACAAATATCATGATCCATCCCTAAACATGAAGGCTTTATTTCTCTTCTTCCTTGGTCCTTTCTAATGCTGGTGTGAGTGTGCATGATATCTAGTTTCTGACATATCATTTCTTCAAACATTCATGGCTAGACATTTATATTTGTCTCTCTTGACCTGATCCCAACACATTTTCTTTTGTTATCTCACTTCTTAGTCACAGAAGATTTCATCAGACAGACTTGGAGTCTCACTGTCCATGTTTTTGTCTAAGAAATCCCACCATTTTCTTTCCTTATTCTACCCCAATGAATTTGACTAAATGTTCCCAGGGGTACCATTGATTCCACTTCTACCAGAAACACTCATATACCAGTCTCTGGCCCAGGCTATGGTTTGCTTCTGTTGAATGGGAAGAAGTGGTTCCAGCACCGACGGATGTTGACCCCAGCCTTCCACTATGACATCCTCAAACCCTATGTCAGAATCATGGCTGACTCTGTCAATACAATGCTGGTGAGTTGCTCTATCTATATCTCATTTTGTTACACCATTCACGGTACACTCACAATGTCCCTATGGTCCAACAAACTCTAGTCATTACCTCCTATTAGGCCCTGATTTCTGGCCTCACCATGTTCATCAAACTTTTGATAAATGAAATGGAATTAAAGTCACTGATAGCACTCATGAGGCATGTTCATTCACACCACAGGTTATTTTCCTTCACATGTTTTATTCCTATATTGGTATTTACACTCATTTTTCAAGTCTAGTTCACTCTCAGAAAACCAAGGGGGCCATTTTTATAAACTGAAAGATTATATTTGTTTCTAAAAACAAACAAGCAATAATTGGATATCATGTTTTGTTAAAAGATTTGGAAGAAGCAGGCATCAGATTGTAAACATTTGCTTCATGCTTTTAATTTGGTATAAGCATATGATGTTAATGGTGAGGGACTCCAGACTGGTTAACCATAAATAAACAGAAAAATCTTAGTCTAAACACAGGTCTTCTGAAGAAAATATGTAATTGTCCCATTCTCACCGTAGGACAGATGGGAGAAGCTTGATGGCCAGGACCACCCTCTGGAGATCTTTCACTATATATCCTCAATGACTCTGGACACCATTATGAAGTGTGCTTTCAGCTATCAGGGAGGTGTCCAGTTGGAAGGGTGAGTGACACCTTTATTTGTAGTCTTTGGTCTTACCAATTTGTAAGGCTTTAGTAAGATGTAAGTGGGGCAGCGAAGACAGTTGCCTCCACAGAAAGCAAGATTCTCACCCAGCCCTAGGTGAAGCTCTAATTTCAAACCAGCCCCAACAAGACATAGTAGAGTTCTAGCAAGTGTGGAAGGCCATTTTCTAAGGTCTCAAGGATTTGAAAACATATTAAGACATAAGTGATGTGTGCCTTGGTGCTGTGTGTCCCACAGGTGAAAGGATGACTATAGAGCCCACTCTATTCTTGGGTCAGGCACTCCCATAACCAGTATATTGTATCTCCTGTCTTCAGAAATTCCAGGTCCTACACTAAGGCTGTTGAGGATCTGAACAACCTGGCTTTCTTTCGAATTAGGAGTGCCTTTTATGAGAATGACACCATCTACAAAATGTTCTCCGATGGCCGTTTGTCCCACCGTGCCTGCCAGATTGCTCATGAGCACACAGGTTCTGCCTTCCCACCCCTTCTTCCTTTATCAGGCTCATCCCAAAGATATGATCATACATCTCAGACACAGTGAATTTACCAGAAGCCTCTGTAGGACCTGAGACACTCTGTTAGTTACTACCAAGATGCAAGATTTGGGAGCTAGGATGTTAGCACATGTGGTACATTACAAGAATTACCAGTTTCATTACGTTGGTAACACTGCATGGGACCCATCCAATAGCCTTTAACGTGACTCTGTGGTCCATGATTCTGATTGGAGGCTTGAGGTATATGAGATTGTGCAGACTCCAAACCATGACCAAATTCCCACTTGCACATGTACCCTGGGCTTCATAGGACACACAGATTGGGGTCAGGGATCCTGTGAATTACAGCAGCTCTGGGATCTATCTGACAAATGCTGTCATGGGGTAGATGGAGTGATCAAGATGAGGAAGACTCAGCTGAAGAATGAGGAAGAGCTGGAGAAGGTCAAGAAGAAGAGGCGATTGGATTTCTTGGACATCCTTTTGTTTGCCAAAGTGAGTGGGGTTCGGGGGTGAGGTTTGGCCCAGAGGCACAGATTAGATACAACTTTGCTCTCTTACCTGTGCATTCACTTAGACAGAGGATGGGAACAGTTTGTCTGATGAGGACCTGCGTGCAGAGGTGGACACATTCATGTTTGAGGGCCATGACACAACAGCCAGTGGAATATCCTGGATTTTCTATGCTCTGGCCACCCACCCTGAGCACCAACAAAGATGCAGAGAGGAGGTGCAGAGCATCCTGGGTGATGGAACCTCTATCACCTGGTGAGAAAAACTCAAGACAAAGGAGACTCCTGCCTTCTTGTAGAAGAGATCTCTTTAAAATTGTTTTCTTTTTCTTTATTCTTCTCTCACACAATACACCCTGACCACAGCTTCCCCTCCCTTCCCCACTTCCTGTACTCTCCTCCCCTCCCCTCTTCCCCAGACTCACTGATCCTCTATTTCCCTTCAGAAAAGAGCGGGCTTCCAAGTGATATCAACCAAACACTGCATAACAAGATGCAATAAGACTAGGGATCAACCCTCATATCAAAGCTGGACCAGACAACCCAGCAGGAGGAAAAGGGCCTCAAGATTAGTCAAAAGAGTCAGAGAGACACTCACTCCCTCATTAGGAGTCCTACAAAAACCCCGAGCTAAACAACCACAGCGTGTATGCAGAGGGCCCGGTGCAGACACATGTAGGCTCTATGGTTGCGGCTTTAGTCTCTGTGAGCTCCTGTGAAGCCTGCTTAGTTGATTCTGTGGGATGTGTTCTTGTGGTGTCATCAACCCCTCTGGCTTCTACAATCCTTCCCCCCCCCCCACTTCTTCAAAGTTTCCTGAGTTCTACCTAATTTGGCTGTATCTTTGTATCTGTTCCCATAAGCTTCTGGAGAAAGCCTCTCTGGTGATGATTGGGCAAGACCCCAATCTAGAAGAATAGCAGATTATCATTAGGAATTATTTCATTGACTTTTTGTCAGTCACGTTTGGTTCTACCCTAGGTCTCTAAGCCGTCCAGCTTCCTGATCCTGACTGTCCAGGCAATGCTGGGCATGGGTTCCCTATAGAGGTGTGGGCTTCAAATTAGACCCATCATTGGTTGGCCACAGCTACAAGCTCTGAGTCACCACTGTCCCAGTGCATCTTGCAGGCAGGACAGCTTATGGGTCATAGGTTTTGTGGCTGTGTTGGTGTCACAGTTCTACCACTGGTAGCCTTACCTGGTTACAAAAAATGGACAATTCAGGCCCTATATTCTCCCTCTGTCCCTTCCTCCCTACCCGATTCCTCCTGTTCCTATTCCCACCTGCCCCCAGTCCACCCACAAAATCTATTCTATTTCCCCTTCCCAAGGAGATACATCCATCCACCCTGGACCTCTCCTCTTTATCTAACTTCTCTGGGTCTGTGGATTGTAGTGTGATTATCCTTTACTTAACAGCTAATATCCAGTTACAAGTGAGTACATACCATGTTCATCAGTGGGTCTGGGTTGCCTTGCTCGGGATAATTTTTTTTCTAGTCTTCTCAGCTCTGTGTGATTTTTCAGTATGGGCTTCATTTCAGGGATCACCTGGACCAGATGCCCTACACTACCATGTGCATCAAGGAAGCCCTGAGGCTCTACCCCCCTGTACCAGGTGTGAGTCGAGAGCTCAACACACCTGTCACCTTCCCTGATGGACGCTCCTTACCCAAAGGTAGCCAGAGCCAGTCACCTAAGTCCTCACGTGTGCTTCAGTTTTCTCAGTAAATTGGATCCTTACTTTGAAGTTGAGATGAGGTCATAAAATTGAGACCATGGAAGTCTCCTGGAAGAAATGCCACCCTCTAATTAAATGTCATTCTCAGCCTTGAAATTGCAGTCATTTAAGATATTCAGGATTGAAATAGAATGACACAAGTCTTGTGGTGGTACGGTTTTGTTCATGAGTAAAAGCAAATGAAAAAGATAATGGAATCCTACATGTGGGTGTAATGTCTCCCAGTTTCTCAGGAAACTTTGAGTTGATGAAAGAGAGGAGCTAATGATAAGTTCTGAGCTCCTTGTCTCCACAGGAAAACACATATTAATCATTGGATATGATCCTACCTCTGTCACATCCAAGCAGTGTAAACATAGGAAAAATAATGGGCCTCATTGAGAATTTAGCATTTCATGTGAAAAATGATCATTAAACAGTGTCTTTGAGGGTGGTGGGGAGGGACTTGTGAGTGTTATGTGAGCTGACGTAGGTTCTTCAATGGTCGATGTAAGACGTTTGATGAGTGTATGCTGTCACTTCACTTACTGGAAGCAGGATACTCCCAACACTTCACTGCTGTCTGTCATCACTGGGTTCATGGTTTTCTAATGCATGCTTTGCTAAGCTTCCTATGCCTGAAAGGATCATTAGCTCTAAGTGATGACTCCTTATATGCAGGCCAATTGTGCATGCCAGTCTCCTATTGGGTATAAGTCTAGAGCCCTATTTCGTTGGCTTAGTTATGCTTCACTCCATGTCTTTTCCCTTCCCCTCACAGGTGTCTCAGTTGCCATCTCCATTTATGGCCTTCATCATAACCCAAGTTTGTGGCCAAACCCTAAGGTAAGAAGGCCTTGAGAAGAGGGAAGAGCTACTCAATTGCAACTTTATACATTCTGTCTCCTTTTGCATTGGAAATGGACTTGACTCCTATCCACCCTGGCCTTTGTGCTCTCTCTGCAGGTGTTTGACCCTTCTAGATTTGCACCAGATTCTTCTCGGCACAGCCATGCTTTCCTGCCCTTCTCAGGAGGAGCAAGGTGATGGGAAAGGATTAGAGGAAAAGGGAGTCTCTGGCACACATTAATATTTTATAATTCTGATTGCTTATGTCCCTATGTGGTCTACTTGTATCTCTGTTGATATATGTGAACAGATAGTGTCATGTATATGTGTTTGTGCCAGAAAGAAAGATGGCAATTCAGTATACCACAGAGGTTTTTAACCCACTGTCCTGTGGCCACTGAAACATTTGTATACAAAATTAATATGCTTTGATATTTTCACAAATTCTGAATTTCATATTTCAGAAGTATATTCTTTATACAAATTGAACCAAGAACTTAGTTTTCAATAATCTTGAAGGGAGAATTTCTCTTTCCCAAAATTCTCATTATAGCCCAGTAGGTTTTCTTACTAATTCAGCAGTTGGATGCTTCTATGAACCTTTGAAATATATGTACCTATAAACATATGTAATAAGCATGTATTAAGTATTATAAGGTGATATATTTAAAATTCTAGAAACTGTATGGGCTCTTCTGTTAAAGTGCTATACACACACACACACACACACACACACACACACACACACACACACACACGCGCACAACACATATATATTCACAACTCATTGTACATTGGACACCAGTGGCTATTGTCTCACATTTTTGGTTTCTAGTCTCACAAGATTTTGCTGCATAGACAAATGCTTACAACTTGTACATACTTCCCCAGTTTGTAAAGCTTTGCATGTGGGAAGGGACTTCAGTGAACAGGCTTAGCCTACCTAGTCCAGTGGTGACAAATACAGGAATGAGGACATTAAACAGCTTCTGAGGAAAAGCCTCTCCTCTGTTTAGTGATGATGTATGCCATAACTGGTATGTACAGTGACGGAGAGCTGAATGAGACAAGGTGCTAAAGGGCTGCTGTGAAAATCCACCAAGTCTACAGGACTCATCCTGTAGAACACAAATTCCCCAAAATTTCTTAAGGTTTGATACAATGGTCATCATGAGTCAAAATGTCTCTAGGGATTATATAGGGGGAGAAAATTAAAGCTAAGAATTTCTTCTGATTGACCAATTCTTTGAAACCTACAGTACTGAATCAGCTCCCACAGAACAGGCTTAATGCATGGCATTTCAAGGGGAAACTGCAGTCAGGATGTAAAACAAACAAACAAATAGGAAGAAAAAAATAAGAAAACATATGATGGAGTTTATTCCCATGGTTAAGAATTTCATCATACCCAGCCCAAAACAATGCAGCCATTGGAGGGTAGGATACTTGTAGGAAGCTAAATTTCTAGCTTATATAATCTTTATCCTCTGTGCATATTATTTTATTTTTAAAATTCAACTCAGTAAATTCAAATGCAAAAGTATTTTAAAATTGTATTTTTCTGCCATGCCTTTTGCTGAGGCAGGAATGCAGAAGTGTAGAATTCTGATCCCAGCCCAGCAACAAGACCAGAAGTGTATATAGTCAGACACATGTATTTGAAGTAATCATCATTCCTTCTTCCTGTCTCTTACTCATGCATCACTCATTGACAGTTTGTTACACATTCCTTGCTGTCCTATAATCTGAAGTGTAGTGGGGCCTTGAAAAAAGCACCAATGATACCTTAGAGTCCTGGAGGAGATGAGCAGCCACAGAGGATATGGAGCTAGCTGACTCTTAGCTTGTTCCTTTGGATGTGACAGTGAATGTTGTGTAATATTTTGTTTGTGTTCTGACAAATAAAACTTGCTTGGAATCAGAGGGCGAAGCTAGCCACTAGTTAACCATAGAGATCTGGAGGTCTGTACAGAGAGGGACAGGAAGTGATAAGGTGGGGTGGAGACAGGATCTTGGCCCTTTTGGACTGGAGGAACGGAAGAGGAAAGAAACGATTGTGGCTGCCCTCCAGGTTCTCTGATCTTTCAGGTTTTACCCTGATATCTGACTCTTGGTTTTTATTGATAAGATTAGTTAGATTTATTCAAGTGAGGTGGAGAGAAACATTACAGGCAACTTGAGCAGCATGAGCTGAAGTAGGAAGTGGGGCTAGACAGATAAGAGATGGCGGCTCAACAATCCTACAGTACGTGTGGTTAGGGCTGAGGTACCTGGATGCTGTTCTACCTGGTGGAGTGAGTGCATAGGAGGAAGCGTGTGGAGAACAAAAGACTAAGGCAGCAACAATGCACATAAGGGCTTTTCTGGAGTCAGATGAGAGGGCTGCAGATGATGGTAGTCTGAGGGAATGAGGGGTCAGAGCCTGACAGTGGAGTGGGAGGAAGATGGAGGAACAGCTTGAAGATTCTCAATCAGATGCATTCACCAGAAGCTTCTACTGCTAATATTTGACTCCCATTCTAGGATCAATTCATTTTTTATGCATAGATGATAATCCCCAGGATGGTGATCTACCCCTTCTCATATTGCCCCTAATAGGGGTATTCATAGTGGAGATCCAGAAACCGTTAGGAGAGAGAATGGCTAACTAATGATTACCTCATTAAATAACTCATGTGCTTGTACTCTATGCCCCACAATTCTGGCACTGTTCAAATGACATTTCACACATCCAAGAGCAGGACTAGGGGCAGAGAATGCCCTAGAGGAATGAGAGACTTTGTCATAGGTCAGAAGCCTATGCACAAAGACAAGGGATTCAGGTACTTGTGTGATCTCAAAGCAGGTGAACTATTAGGTGTGTGACCTCTAAGGAAAATGATTAGACTGGTACCCTGATGGGGTACCCTAATGCCCTTCAGGACTGAGGTTCTAGGAACAATGCTCACTGTACTCAGAACATGCCAAACAGCACATCTCACTTTATGTTTCTGCTTGGTTCAGAAACTGCATTGGGAAACAGTTTGCCATGAATGAGCTGAAGGTGGCCGTGGCCCTGACCCTGCTCCGCTTTGAGCTGCTGCCAGATCCCAACAGGATCCCGGTCCCCATGTTGAGACTGGTGTTGAAGTCCAAGGAGGGGATCTACCTGCGTCTCAAGAAGCTGAGATAATTCTGGTAGAGAAAAGGACAGCTCTGGGGGCCTGCTGCCTGCAGTACATTCTACTTGTCACCTGCTTTTGCCCCAGGCTTATCTGTATTTCTTTCTTTCCTCCGATCCTCGCCCCTCTGCTGTCTGTAATGTCTCCTATCATCCCATTTTTCTGCCCTTCTTTCTCTAACTCTTCCCAGACTCTTCCCAGATTGTGTGTGTACCTGTCTCCCACCTGGCTGTATTTCTGACTGGTCACATAACCCCTGAACACCTGCCTGTCCTCAGTTTATCCTTTATAACCATCACCCTGACAGAAGAAGAGATATTTTAAAGGGAAACACTCATGCCTCTCCCTTTGCTATCAGACTCCTGAAACAATGGACCCCATGAATTAAAGTGTCCTTAGGAATCACATGCTGGGAGAAAATTAACGTTAAAAATCTGCACTAGCCAGAAGAGGAACTTGAAAAAAAGAAGAGACTCTACATATTCTGTTTGTCTCATGGTGAATTAATGTATGTAGATTTCCTTGCAGAATACTACTGTTACAGAGAAATGAATAGTTTTTCCTACTTTGGGCCAAACTATAAATAAATCCATTTTACTTCATTTACTTCTGTTTCCTATTTCATTTACGATACAGGTATGAACCTAAGTGTCCCAAAGTGGCTTTGGCAAGTCATCCATCAGGAAACCTTGTTATGGTCTGCTCCCTGCTATTAGAGGGTGGTAGAACTCTCAGCTCCTGGGGGGTTTTAGTTGCCTTTTGACCCTTGGGGCTGGCTCTCTATAAATTAAGACTGATAATTTGGTTAAGCTAAGGAGTTTTCTGATTTTAACCTGGTCTTAGTTGCTTAGATTATTCTAGTTATTTAGTTCAAGGATTTGGAGAATTCCTGTTAAACTCTCATGATCTGGATCTGGATTCTTTGGTGATATCAGTGCCAACTATAAATAAGAGTGTTTGCCATCTATGCACCGCACACAAGAGCACCCAAGTTCATAAAAATAATACTACAACTCAAATCATGTATTGACCCTCACACAGTGATAATGAGTGACTTCAATATCCCACTCTCACCAGTAGATAAGCCATCCAGACAAAAACTAAACTAAAATTTTAGAGCGAACTGATGTCATAAATCAAAGAGACCTAACAGATATTTCCAGAACATTTTACCTAAACACAAAAGAATAGACCTTTTTCTCAACACCTCATGGAACATTCTCCAAAAGAATGATAGAGACAGGAGATACAAAGGAAATACACCAAGTCTAGATTCTGATCAAGGTGCAACTTTATTTTTCTCCAAGAGGATTTATATAGTTCTTGCAGGGTGGGGGGAGCAAGAAGCTGTTATCTGCATAAGGTGGGGCAAGCTAACAGGATGTTTGTATAGGATGTTTACAGGGTGAAAGGGTCAAGGGCTCTGACTCAATGTCCTGTTGCTAGGCAACCTGACTGTAAGATGATCTAGTTCCCTGTCCTATGTATTTTTCTGTATTTTTCCACTAATTAGAGATTCTGTCCTTGTCCCTGACACATAACTACAGATACCAAGGAAATTCAGAGAACCATAAGAAAATACTTTAAAAACCCGTACTCTATCAAATTGGAAAAGCTAAAAGAAATAGGTAATTTTCTTGGTATGTACCACCTAACAAAGTTAACTCAAGAACAGATAAGCAATTGAAGCAGACCTATAACCCCTATTGAAATAGAAACAATAATGAAAAGTCTCCCAACCAAAAAAAGCCCAGGGCCAGATGACTTTAACACAGAATTCTACCAGGCTTTCAGAGAAGAGTAAGGTCAATACTCCTCAAATTATTCCATAAAATGGAAACAGAAGGGACACTTCCCAATTCACTTTTAGAAGCCACAAGTTACCCTGATACCCAAACTACATGAAGACCCAACACAGAAAGAGAAATACAGATGAATTTCTCTTATAAACATAGATGCAAAAGTTCTCAGTAAAATACTTGCCAGCCAAATCCAAGAACACATAAAAAAGATCATCCACCATGATCAAGTAGGTTACATCAGACAGCTACAGACAGATACAGGGTTCAGCATATATAATTCAATAAATGTGACATACCATATAAACACCCTGGAAAAAAAAGCAACACCTGATCATCTCATTAGCTGCAGTGAAGACCTTCATCAAAATCCAGCACACCTTCACTACAAAAGTCCTGGAGAGACTCAAGGCACATGTATCAACATAATAAAGGAAATTTACAGAAAGCTCACACCCAACATCAACCTAAATGGAGAGAAACTCAAAGCATTCCCATTAAAAACAAGACAAGTTTGTCCACTCTCTCCACACTAATTCAATATTGTACTTGAAATCTTGGCTAGAGCAATAAGACAACTAAGGAGATCTAAGGGATAAAAATTTGAAAGGAAGAAGTCAAAGTATCTCTATTTACAGATGATATGATAGAATGCAGGAATGCAGAAGTGAGCCTAAAAATTCTCAGCTTCATATAAACACACACACATACACACACACACACACACACACACACACACACACACACACACACACACACAACAAAAAAAAAACAAATAAAAAATAGGATAGACAAAACAACTGTGAGTAATAAAAGAACTACTGATGGTATCACCTCTTCCATCCTCAAATTGTACTACAGAGCTGTAGTAATAAAAACAGGGTGGTATTGGTATAAAAACAGACACATAGATCAATGGAATCAAATTGAAGACGCAGACATAAATCCACATTCCTATTGACCCGTTATCTTAGATAAAGAGGGCAGAAATACATACTGGAAAACCAAACCCAGCATCTTCAACAAATTGTGCTGGTCAAACTGGATGGCTACATGTAGAAGATTGCAAATAGATCAGTACCTACCACTCTATATAAAACTCAATTATAAATGGATCAAAAAAAAAAAAAGACCTTATAAGACCAGACGCACTGAATCTGATAGAAAAGAAAGTGGAGAATAATCTTGAACAGGAAAATACTTTCTAAACAGTGCATCAATAGCACATGCACTAAGATCAACAATTAATAAATGTGACCCCGTGAAACTGAAAAGCTTCTGTATGTCAAAAGACACCATCATTTGGACAAAGCAGCAGCCTACAGAATAGAGAAATATTTCTAGCAATTACACATCTGATAGAGGGCTGATATCTGACATACATAACAAAAAACTAGACATCAAGAAAACAAACAACCCAATTTAAAAAAATGGGGTACAGATCTAAATAGAATTCTCAAAAGAGGAAACGCAAATGGCTGAGAAAAACTTAAATAAATGTTCAACATCCTTAGTCATCAGGGAAATACAAATCAAAACTACTTTGAGATTTCATCGTACACCAGTGCCAGGAACGACCAACATCAATAAAACAAATGATAGCTTGTGCTGGTAAGGATGCAGAATAAAGGGACCATTCATCTATTGCTGGTGGGAGTACAGCCACTATGCAAATCAGTGTGGTGGTTCATCAGAAAGATGGAAATTGATCTACCTCAAGATCCAGTTATACCACTCTTGGGTATACACAAGGATACTTCATTCTACCACAGAGACACTCACTCAGCCATGATCATTGCTGCTGTATTCATAATAGCCAGAAACTGGAAATAGCTAGAAATTGGAAACAGCCTAGATTTTCACAATGGAATATTATTCATATATTAAAAATGAGATAGTGAAATTTTTAGGTAAATTGATAAAACTACAAAAAAACAAAATCCTGAGTGAAGTAAGTTAGGCCCAGAAAGACCAATATAGTATATATTTGCTTATCTGTGGATGTTAGCTGTTAAATCTTCAGTAAGCAAGCTACAATCCATGTAACCACAGAGGTTAGGTGTAGAGTATGGGAATGGGGGAGGAAGGGATGGCTCTCCCAGGGATGGGGAAATAAAATAGATAGTTATAAATGAATGGAGGAGAAAGGAACTGGAGGATCAAATAGGGATGGGGAAGGAAGAGGGGTGCAAGAGTGGGAATAAGGAGAGGGACAGCTAAAACTAAAGGCCATTTGAGGGGTCATACAGAAGCCCAATACAGTAAAAATCTTCCTAAATACATGTATGAAGGCAATCTAAATAAAACTGTCAAATAATGGGGAAGATGGAAGTAACTAGATCTCTCATCACCAAAATGATGCTTCCAGCGCCAAGAATGGATCATCTAATTGAACTGTTGGCCAAAGTTGCTCCATGAGAAACCCTAAGCAACCCAAGCCATTGCCATTAAGGCTCTACTGCTGAAGACACCACCTACACAAAGTATCGAACATGAAGAAGTAGAGCTGGTACCTATCTAGTGCCTTCACGCCTATGTACTAGTTAGTGTTTGTGGTAGTAGAAGGTACTCTTCACTCTACCAAAGGAGAGAGGTTAATACCAACCTAGCTACAAACTCTTCAGTCTATAAGGATGACCTACCTGCAAGATGTGCTAGTGTAAGAGTGGCACAAAGTTTGTGATAGTAACCAACCAATATCTGATTTGGATTTGAGACCCACCCCGTGGAATTAATCCATTCCCAATACTGCTCAGGTAACCAAGAACCTGAGACCAGATAGGCCAGGAACCCAGGTGAAAACAAAATACTACTGTTCTGTTACAGGAACATGGCCATAAAACAACTCCTACTGACATTCTGCTACACTCATAGATCAGTGCCTTGCTCAGACATCATCAGAGAAGCTTCTTCATGCTGTAGATGGGAACAAATACAGAGACCCCTAGCTAGACAGTGCAGTGGTATTTGCTCCACCCATGACCTTGGGCTATACTGTCCAAAGGAGGCAGTACTTCCTGCTGTTGTACATGACCTCTTATAAGGAGTTGGAGAAGAGTCACACGTCTCTTCTCCCTTGCTCCTGCCTGAGAGGTGGATTCACTCCCAGTCAGATCAGAGGACACCTTCAACTATCTACTCCATTTTGTATTAGTGAGTGTATTTCCTCAATTTATATTGATAGACCCCAGACCCAGGGTACTGTCTTCTCG